GGGGAGTGAAATTCAGGAGCTGTGCAGCTTTTAGGAAGGTCATTTAGATAGATTAAATAACATAGGCGCCAGAATACAACCTTGGTGAACCCCTCTCTCTGCCTGAATGGGGTTTGATAGATTCCCATCGACTCCACCTCTTACCCTAATTGTGGTCTATTGGTAGAGGCTTCTGATAAGATATACTAGCCTTTTATAAATCGAGGAAGAGTAGAGTTTTTCCCATAAATTTCCTCTGGGTATTGAGTCGAAGGCAGATTTTAGACCTATAAATGCTGCAAACAGGCCATTCCCATGACAACCCATATACTTCTCTGCGAGGTGATTCAGTACTATACAGTGGTCGAAAGTGGAGTGGTTCTTCCTGAAACCGGCGTGTTCATTCCCTAAGATATCCTCCTCCTCAATCCATACATGATTAGTCTATTATTCAGATATCATAAAGCTTGCCCAATATTGACAGGAGGCTAATTGGTCTATAATTTGAGGGTTCGTCTTTGTTCCCCTTCTTATAGATTGGTATCACTATTGCCTCTAACTTGGAGTATGGAATTTGCCCAGTGTTATTAATGAATGTAAATAAATGAGATAAAGGGGGAGCCCACCAGTCTACATTGGTCTTTAAAGACTCTGCTGGTATTAGATTGGGTGCCGGTGCCTTCCCTGATTTTAGGCAAGTTATTAGTGGCCTTATTTCATTTTCATTTACTGGGTCCCAGGTTGGCAATTTGTTTAGATCTAAGAATGTGATGTTAACAGTTTGTGCAGGTTTAGTTTCCTCAAATATTTTGGTGAAGTACCGTTCCCATATATTTGCCGGGATACTGCAGTAAGCTGATCCTGTTTGGGTGCCTAGTGCTCCAGAGGCCTTCTAGTTTCTCCAGTTAAACCGAGGAGGTAATACAAAGGCATTGGAAAGCCAATGTCTGCTAAAATGATCATATTAGAATCTTTCACTAGACCACCTTGCTGTCACTAATTTTCCCAGATTTAATTACTTTAGGCTTATTCAAAAGAAGATGTAATACCTCCACAGCCATGTCTAATGCAACTTTAAGGAACCAGGAAGTTTTCAGATCATAATAAGGTCCAGGCAAAACTAGAAACTACTGTATTTTATTTATTTATTTATTTAATATCCCACCTTTCTGGTCGGTTAAGACCACTCTAGGCGGCTAACAGCATAAAAATAGAACAATTTATTTACAATTTTACATATAGCTATTTCAAAAACTGGGAGCAAACAAAGGGAGAAAGAAGGGCATCAGGGATGTCCTTCTTTCTTAAAACTATTACTGTATGTTTATAGCTCATGGAAAACCCAGAAACAATAGCTTAGCTTTATAAATCTAAGAAGGAAACTAAAGATATCATTGCAGTGCATACGGTAAGATTCACATAAGTTCAAGTAGTAGCTGTCTAGTAATATTTTTATTGTAACTCAGCACACCTTTTTTGCCATTAATGTGGTGGCTGTAGTAAGAAACACTGTTTTGTGAACTTTATACAAAAGTGAGGTCATGTGTTCCACTTTCATGAGGCAATTGTACTTGATTGCTTGAATGCACAACTGCTATCAGGGAATTTCTCATTACCCTGAAAATGGAAAGCAATTACCTGCCAAGGATGTTGTATGTCCTCATTTATTCCCAAGTGAACACCCCTTTTAATCAAACCTTAGTGGAAGTCTATCAGTCTTCAAATTAGAAAGTTTTTCAACTATTTCCATAATGTGTAGTCTGCACTGAAATTACACCAGTTAGTGTAATTCATTTACCTTTCCACACAATGCAAATAGCCTTCAGTAATTGCAGCTCTTCTTTAAATATCATTTCAAATAAATGAAAAGACAAATACTTCACTGCATGAAGTACTTAGCCTACAGTGGTCCCACAAAGTCTTATATCCCAAGGTATAGGGATGTTTCAAATTCATAGGAATGTTTTTATAGATTATGTAATTATTTAATAACCAAGAACTGAACATTAGATGTTTTAATAGGGATGAAAACTTTAATAGGGCTGAAATCCTTTTGCATAATGTAAGAACATTTGCACGTTTTCAGTCCATTGCTTGCCTGTAAATACAGTAAAGAGTCCCTACTGCACTTCTTGGGGGTAGATGTGCACACTGTTTTGGTGTCTGTGTGCATGTTAGAGAATTGCAGCAGGCACTCTTTATTTACTGACAAGGAATGGACCAAAACTTACTGGTACAAATTTGCTTACATTATGTAGAAACAGTATTTTGGCCAGTGAGTGAAAAGGGCAACGCTGAGCCACTCCTAAGATTCTTAGCATGTGTATACAAAATCTTAGGGATATAATGTATAATAAATATAACTTTATTAATTTCTCAAGGCTTTATGTTTATGAAATAAATCTAGTACTAAGAATCAGATCAATCCAGAAACATGAAATCAATTGTACCCCAAGATAATAAACAGTATGCTCAAGGACTTAGGTTTGCCAAGTGAGATTCTTGAATGCACTTCAAGACAGAATTCCTTAAAATGTATTTGAAAAAAACAAATACAGTACTTTGAAGTGGAATTGCTATTTAAAAAGCAGAAATCAAAGTTCCCCTGAAATATACTATATTGAGTAGTCCTTTGGATCCCAGATGTTACAATTAAGTTGTCTATCAAGATCTAATTTCTTCTTAGTTTTGTCTTTGTTAGGAATTCTGGATTTAAATTAGCCATGTTACAGAATTTACTATAGAACATCAGACATTGGTTTAAATATGCAACCTTTATTTATCTTGGCATACTGCATAAACAATATAATACGGAATTGGAAAATATTAGAAGTCTGACTAAATAATTAATTGTGCATGTTCTGAAACCCAAGCACTCCTTTGTATAAAGACCCCCCTTCGCCAAATGTTGCCTAGAGTTAATTAATGAACTTTCCTTGTTAACAGGCCTTCCATTTATGCTGTGGCAAAATAAACATAAATGGAATTACAATAAATACATATTCAAAGCCACCAAGTACCTCTAATGAACTACCTAACATTACCTTGCATTTGCTTCTCTGGCCAAAAAGATTGTTCAAATGCAAGGCAAACAAAAAGTTACTTAAACAATGAATTAAAATGAATAATATTTAATAAAAGCACTATGGACTTTTAATCCAAGTAAAAAGTTTTGGATGATATACATTTCACTATGTTAGAACAACATGCTGAGTCTCAGTCTCTACAAATGGAAGGGCGGGGGGGGTGTGTGCATCCTGGCCTCAGTCTTCCTGTAATCTTACAACTTAACTGCCTGCAGAGCAGAACAAAACAAGTGGTTGCATTCAGCCACTAGCAAATTAAAAATCATTACTTGGATTTAATACAGTTTTAGGTCCATGGATTCCATAAAAATATTTCTATTTATTTGGTTTATGGATTTCAGTGATAGGCTGCAAACCTGAAGCTTATTATCTGGACCAGCTTTTAAGGTAATAGGAAAAAATCTGTGATTGAGCCAAATGAAGAGAACTCTATATGGAGCAGCCCTTATTTTAAACACACTACTCCAACTATACTTTCAAATCCATAAATCAACATCCTGTAGATGAAAGATAGTTCCATTAATCTCTCAGTGGTATATCTTCAAAAGATATTCTAGTCTTAAATACAATAGTATTCTATGTAAATCCCAGTACTAGTGTTTAAGTTGTTGATGACTTAAGTTACACACTGCTTAACCGTGAACCACTTTATTCTACATGCTGGGATGAATAGTGTTCTCTCTCTATCTCAGTATTAAAACATCTGATACTGTGATCCCATTGTCATTTTCTTGGAAAAAAGTCCTATTCTCTTCCATGGAACTTAGAAGTGTGCTTAACATGTGAATTTGCTTCCTTTTCTATGAGACATAAAGCTTAATTATACTCTGAAAAGAGCTTTAGCTGAAAAACTTTACAAAGTAAATCGTATAGATTCACCTGGAATCAAGAATATTCATTTCAGAAAGAAGTGACTTCTTGAAATAACGAACAGAACAGAGACAGAAAATACCTTTGATACTAATATTACAGCACTGCATACCAGCATTGGAAGCATGACACTAGCTTGTCTTACCTTTTGAAGGTATTATATTACGAAAGATGTACAATACATCCAACATACTATATAGTGCCTCTTATCACTTGATATACCTTATACAGTACTGTATATCATTAAGGCACTAAAGAGAAGATTTGTTGACAATAACAATATTTGCAGTATTCACTATATACTAACTAAAGAAGATTCCTGGCATCAGCTGTTACAGTTAAATAATGTATATATGAGAATGTTTCACATGTTCTAAAATGTGACAGCATATATTTTTTATTATCACCTTGCAGGACTTTTTCCCCAAAAGGCACTAAATCTTTTTTGCTTTATCCTTGTCTGGTTCACATACAAACAACACATTTCCAGTTCTTGGAAACTATATATGACTTTTTACATGCAAACCGAATGTACTGACCTGGTACCTACTCTTAATCTTTTGAAAATCCTTTCTTCAGTACTTTAATTATGCCTTCCAGCCTTTTTACAACTTGTAACTATTGCTGAATGTCCAGTGAACCACATAGTAATTTAGAAATCCACTAAATTGTAAATCAAAGTGCTTTGAAATAAATGTGCACATTAAAAAAAAACCTAAAGCTTTACTATTATAAAAATATTTCTCTTTGAAACCATTAAAGCTTTTAAGAGTCAGGAAAAAATATAATAGATTGTTTTCTTCCTGTAATTGTACCTGGGGCCAGAAATATAAAAGAATTAACAAAAAAAAGTTTTATTCTCTACAGCTTTTTACGATAAAGGCCAGAATTGATGGAAAATTCTTGTTCACTAATGAGATCTGGTTATATTCTTGAGCATGTGCTCCATAGTATGATTGGGTGTATTCAAGAATGCCACCAGCACCTTATTACTGTGCAACAATTTCAGCTGCAACTTATATGACTCCCCTTACACAAGCATAAATCACGAATATGATTCTGTGCATCCATTTGATGTTTACAGTAAATTATTTACAGCTATGGAGTTTATAAGTGATGCTTCTATTGTGACTTCTGATTTTTTAAAAAAAATCCTAAGGGAAATTTTGAATAGAGCAAATTATCATTGCTCTACACATTATTTCCTGTCTTTACCTTTCTGTAATGACATTTGGCATAGAAAATGACCATTTTGCAATATGGATATTTCATTCTCTGTATACTTTTTATGGAACAAAGCCATAATATTTTCACAAGTCTTTTCACAAATTTTGTTGCCATTAACTAGCTCGTCTACATTTCCATGAAGATGGTCTTTCATCCTGCAGCTTTTTGAATCTGGGTCCAAGAAACAACCACCAAGCAAATCCTAAAGCGACACATATTACAGACTCCACATAATAACCATCCAGAGTGATGACACAAGATCCACCTCCCTTTGTACAAAGCTGCAAGAGAAAAGAAAACAATGTGTTTTTTGTTACACAAATGAAATAAATTCAAAATGCATTCAACAATATAACTAAACAATCTGCTTTTGACATGAGCATAGAATTTTTAAAATGTGGATCTTTTGTATTAGCCATCATTCCATTGCTTCCATATGCAACACAACACAGAAGCACTGCAAGAATAGCATCTGATACAGACACTTTTCATAAGTAGTGGAAAGACAGAGGCAAGTACAGAAAGCACAAATTATTTCAACAACAGATGCAATTTAATGCACACATATTGAAAGAATGCAGAAAAGACACTCCTAAAATGTTATTTAAAGCCTTTTACATATAGATGATTAATGTAGAAACCCAGTGTCATTCTATCAAGATGAATGCTAAAACAGAAAACCTTTCCTGTACCAAACTTACCTCTGTAGCAACTGCAGACCCACAGCTGTGCCCTTGAACTCCAATGCACTTCTTCACTGTAAGTGGATCCACAAGCCAAAGAGCTACTGTGGCAGGCCAGTTTCCCCCCAGATTTGACACCGTGTTAAGTAGAGTCATATATGTTCCTCCAATGAGTGGGTCACTAACTTTGGCATTGAAAGCCATTACAGCAACATACATGCTGTACAGTGTAACCTAGGAAAAGACAACCAAAAGTACTCATAAAAGATCAAGACAATTACATTGTAGAACCTGCATTACTTTAGGTCTCGTGAAATATCTGCTGTTTCCAAACCAGCACTCCAAAATGTTCTCATAAACAATATGAAGTTTTCATTTAAAATAACTTCCTTACAAAGGTGCCAAAAGCTGGTGGCTTAGAATGAAGTCTAAATGTGACCCCCCCCCCCTTTTGGCTTTAGCTGAAATCTTGTTGCTTAGTGTAGTAAGTCACAGCTAGGGTAAGTCCATTGAATCAATGGAACTCATGGAGGAGTTGATTCACCAAATCCCAACTGATTCAATGGGCCTCTTTTAATTGTGATTTACTATGCTAAGCAACAGGATTTCAGCCAGTATGACGAAAAATAAACAATAATGACTATTATAAAAGTGCTGAAACAAGTCATGGTACTAGACTTAGGCCAGATTGCAAGGCTAAATAAACAGCAAACTTAATCTTGAATCACACTTTTACCTTATGACAATGTAAATATCTGAACATCTGACATCACGTTGTCAGATGAGCTTCTTAACTATGGCTGAGTGCCTTTAATATAAGTGTAGTGGTACATAAAGCATCAGTAATCTTTCATGCCAGTCTGAGTTTCCAACCCTGCAACAGTGAAAGTTTTTGGCTGATGCTACGAGAGTTAACATAGACTTGGTTGGTCTCAGCCGGGTACAGAGAGCACCATTAGACAAGTACAAGGTACATCAAATGGCAGTTATCTTTGCAGCTAGCCTATAGAGTATTTGCTATCACATTGTATTAGATGTGCATACTGACTATTAGGAGTAGAGATGGGCACTTAAGAGTATTTGCTATCACATTGTTTGTATTAGATGTGCATGCTGACTATTAGGAGTAGAGATGGGCACTTACAGCAGTTTGGTGCAGCTGGCCAGATCAGGCCCACAGGTGTTGCACAGGTGCCCCAGATTCTGCACCCTGCCTCCTCCTGCAGGTGCCCAAGGAAGATGGTAGCACAGGGAAACCCGCAGCACTGCTTCTGACAGGTGGCCACGGGAGGAGGTAGAGTGTGTAATCAGAGTTCACAGATCTGAACTGGTGACAAAACCTAAGCACAACTGCTTAATTTTTTGAAACTGTACAAGCAGTTGCAAGATTCCCACCAATGCAGAAGTCATATCCAGCCAGTAGATCTACAAGTGCAGTTGCACAACTAGTTGGGTAATCAGACACATGGACAGCTGGGCAAAACTCTCCATGTATTTCTGCAGATATAACTTTATGCCATGCCAAATGCATGGATTTCAGCCAATATATTGTTCATGTGTTTATATGTACATGGATGCATCTGTGAAGCTATTAAAAATAAACTTCCATTTACACATAAAGATACTATGTACATTTTATGTAAGATATTTTAGATATTATCTTATATAAAGATAATATCTTAAAATAATATTTTAAGATAATATATTTTTAAAAAAGAATGATAGCCACTTGTTACCTGATGCAAGGCGTAACTCAGCAACAATATGATATAGAAATAGATAGGAAACCCTCCTTCGTATTTTACTTGGGGAGTCCACCAAACCAAGAAAGCAAATTCCAATCCAAACAGTAACCTTTGGTTAAAAGATGAAGGGAAACATTTTGAGTTGATGAACACAATTCTTCCTTTACTGCACCAGGATAAATAGGATTAACCCGAAACATATGACAATAAATAAATTTAGCCTAGAGGTAGATGGGGAAAGGGGTAAGTTATGGTCTATCGGTAAACCACTAGCCAATTTCTAGTGGGCCACCTGCATTTGCAAACTTGAGAAAACTAATTTTGGTGTACCTTGGTTCTGATCAAATCAAGCACTTATTAAAAGCAAATGCATATTCTAAGAATTATCTAACCCTGATTTTTTATGCTTTAAATAAAAATGGATTTTATATATGCATTTTAGTTTGTAAATTTAACAATCGACTGCTGGATTGAAAAAAATCTAATTTTTATAATGGTGTGTTCTTTCTCTTCTTCAGTCCTTCCATTTTCCCCCCTTTTGGCTCTAATTCCCAGAATTCTCCAAGCAGAATTCTGGGGAATGTTAGCCCACAAACACACACCTGTTTTCACTCAGCTGGAGCAGGGTTTACCTCTGAGGCTGCATAGCTTTATCTGCAGTCATCATTCTACTACACTCCCAAGAGGCAATGTAGCAGCTTCATTTTTCTTTCACCTTAACAACAGAAGTCAAGGCCAAAAATGGCCCTGCAGGAGGTACGCCCTGCTACTGTAATGAATGACTTGTAGATATTTGTGTGTTTTTGTGGCCTAAAACTCCCAGAATCCTGTCGGGGAAATTCTTGGAGGATTCTGAGAGTTGGAGACAAAAGAAAAGAAAAAAGAAATGAAAGCACATACCTACTTTTCTTTTAAAAAAAGGCAAGCCACAACACACACCTGAAATTATAACACACCCCTACAAATATATCTAAAGACTGGAAGGGAATTACATGTCCATAAAGACTGTACTGCAATGACAGAATCAGCTTCAGTTTTTATGAACCTGCCATTCCCTTCCAGCCTTTATGGACTGTGAATTATGGGATTTAGATTTGTAGGGAGTGTTCTAAATTTAAGTTTAATGACATAGGTAAAGCTATTGATTATGGGGATTAGAACCTGCCTTCAGACTTCAAACTTTCCACCTTCCTCCCAACCTCCTTCCCTTCTTGCATGTACTGTATGTTCTTCAGTTAGAACTGAAGGAACAATAAAAACCATAAGTAACTGCAGAGGGATTCATCTGCAATTGAAGTAAAAGTAAGGAATGAAGAAAAATGCAGTGTCAAGCTAGGGTTTAATTCAATAATTTTACTCCAGTTCAGAATAAATTGCGTAATTAATGCCAGAGTGCAAATCATGACATGCACATAACATTGCTTTTATGGTAAAAAATTAAATCTCCACATTAACAGATTATGCTGCACATCAACAATATTTATTTTATTTATTTATATATTAGATTTCTACCCCGCCCCTCTAGACTGTGTCTACTCGCACAACAACCAATATATTCTTACCTAAATGGCATAGCTTTGTAAAATGTATTCAGAGGCTTTGGACCTGCAGTGTATTTGCTGATAATCAGAGGCAGTATGATCTGCAGCGGAACCATTGGAACAGCAAGTAGAGCTAAGTGCTCTTTAGGTACTCCTTCTTCTACCAGTTTGAGTCCTGTTACTGCATCTGCTGCTGAGAATCCAATCTGCAACACAAGACCTTGTTAATTTCCATAGCATTCCTAGTGTGCAAAGCATTTTACAATCTCAATAATCTTCAACTTCGCAAAGTCCTTTTACAAATATAGCATGATTTGGCTTTGGCCATGCATCTATGGGTAAAGTGGAAATAAAAAATAGATCCAAGTCCCCGAGCTATAGCCTAGCCTTGCAAGTAGTATGTATAGAAAAGCTTTGCTTAGCCAAATGTTGCTTGCCCACTTATCTGATCCATGCAATAGTAACAGCATTCAGACTTGATGCCAGGGCATTGTGTGAACTTCATACAAGACCCACAGTTTCCCCCCTCCCCCTGATTTTCATCTGATTCTCTGTGGGCTTATTGCTTATAAAGGCCGACTAAGCCAGGATATGAATCCATAAGGCTGGTTTGGAAACCACTGTTCTGAGTAATTATGGCCTGCTATTACATCTGTTCAAGTCATTGATAAGACCTCCATTATGATTCCTACTCTGAATCAAGAAGTGGTTGCATCATGAAAATGGGAATGAAATGATGAAGCTGGAAACTGAAAGCAGGCAAGCAGCTCTAAACCAGGAAGGGGAATCTTTCAACTAGCAAGCATAATTCAGCCCACAGGCAGACCCCATCTAGAGGTCAAATGATCTGTTCCAAATTGCCATCCCTTTGGGTTTCCCCATTCCATGCTCACCCTCCTGACTAGGCACACAGCAAATAGCCGGAGAACCCCTCTGATCTCCCCTCCTTGCATGGCCCTTCCAGTTGGAAAAGCTAGTAGCGCTATGCAGCTACCTCCAGTTTCAGTGCAGGGACGTGGTGGCGCTGTGGGCTAAACCGCAGAGGCCTGTGCTGCAAGGTCAGAAGACCAAGCAATCGTAAGATCGAATCCACGTGACGGAGTGAGCGCCCGTCGCTTGGCCCAGCTCCCGCCAACCTAGCGGTTCGAAAACATGCAAATGCAAGTACTGTAGATAAATAGGGACCACTTCGGTGGGAAGGTAACAGCGTTCTGTGATTAAGTTGCACTGGCCATGTGACCACGGAAGATTGTCTTTGGACAAAACGCTGGCTCTGTGGCTTGGAAACGGGGATGAGCACCGCCCCCTGGAGTCGAACACGACTGGACAAAAATTGTCAAGGGGAACCTTTACCTTTACCAGTTTCAGTAGAGAGCTTTGCCTTCACTGTGTTCTTTCCATGGGGGAAAGAGCAAGAAGAGTGAAGCTTTTCAAACCCAAGCACCGGTGGCAGGAGTGTTCTGCAGCTACCACTTGGCTCAGAACCTGCTATGCATTCTACATATTCTCCATGATAGAAGAAAAGGCAAGGCAGGAGAAGCTTCAAATCTAAGGGCCAGCTAAACAAACAATCCTGCAGCAGCTTGGGACACACAATTTGCTTTGGCCCTTCTACATTCTCCCTCATGGGTCAGGCATCCAGAACTGCTTTAAAACTGTAGTACGACTACTGCATCGTTGGAAATTCCAATTACAACATAAATTCTTAGCTAGATTCAACAGAAACTATGGTTTAGTGTGATGTCTTCACTGAGGTAATTTGTTCACCGTAAAGAGTCTGCACAACTGCTTATTCTGAGGAAGCAGCCAACTGGAAAACCATCCTACCCTATGAACTGCAGTGGTGTTGTTGGTATGTTAAACATTTACCAGGATTGCTACTTAGGATTCTGCAGTTTACAAAAGCACTCAAGTACAGCTTGCCTTATTCCTTTATACCCCAACATCAGATTCCTCAGTTATCTGAATCACTCTAACAATTAACAAGGAACCAAAACCTGATTATCATATTGGGGAGGACATACAGAACTTATTGTATACAAACACAGACCAGGCAACAATCCAAAAAGATAGTGTTAGGCCTTGCAAAAAAAATGATAAGCATGGAAAGCTCCAGTTCCAGCCCATTAGATGTATTTCCCTCAAGAATACTCTGTTCTACTTCACCTGCACCCCAGCTTTCCACCCCAGTACTCACTGTTTTGTAACAACTGCTTCTTCCAGACATGACATCAAATGATTTTAGGGATAGGACCAGAGGGCATAACAGACACTCACAGCAATGTCTGGAAAACATTGTTGCTAGACATGGGATTTTTTGGAATTAATGGACTATAGCCCCCAGAATTCTGCAGGAATTCCGCCACTCAAATTTCTGGGAGCTTTTTTAGCCAACCCCCACCACCACTCTTTTCAGATGTCGAGAACCACTTTCAGCTGATAAACAATGGCTCTTCTTGAACACGATAAACCCAGAGGAAGTGGCTGAGCAGGGCAAGCTCTATGTTAATTAAAAAGCATTGTGGGTCTGATAGTTTCCCTGACTATTATACTCCATATACAGTGCCTCTCACAAAACTACCAGATCCATAATGCTTGGAGTTCCCAGATAACTTAGCATTGCCTGGCCGCTTCCCTCATGTTCATGATGCTGCACCTGAAAGGAGTGCAGGGTTATTGTTATTGTTGTTGTTATGTTTGTGGGGGGTTGGCTAAAGCTCTCAGAAGTCTGGCTGATGGAATTCTGTGAGTGTTCACATGCACCCCTCCCCTTTATCGTCATCCTTTTGCTCCTACAGAAATATATACCTGAGAAGGCCCATAGATTATTTTATCACTGTGTTTCTCAAACTGGGGGTCATGACTGCCAAGGCAGTCGCAAAGTGTTTTCTAGAAGTTGCAGGTCATCTTATATGTGTTGCAGCCATTATTTAATAATTTCCTTCCTTCACCTTTCAGAGTGGGATATTAAAGTTAGAGCATATGTGAAAGAAGCCTCTACTTTCTGAAAAGAGATGACTCTAACTCATTACAAATGCCTTTCTCAGAATTGCAGAAAGGCAGCAGTTTGCCAGCAGCAACAGTGATCTAGGCATAATGATACAGTCTGCATCAAACTTTTTTCAAATCCAGTACTACAGTGATCATAGCACTTCCATTTGCCAGCATACCTGCTCATAAAATTGGCATGCCTAACAGTAAAAATTGTTTTTAAAAATGGCACAAACGTCACACTAATAATTGCAAATTCTTTACTCACTTTTGCTGTTAAAATCAGAGCACAGAATGTAAGGACTGCTGGCATTTTGACTATTGAGAAAAGGAGCTTGTACGTGTCTGTGATGCCTTTTGTTTCTTCTTTCGGTGGTGTTATTTTCTTATTTTCTTTTTTCAAGAGAGCAATCAAGGTTGTAGTTATTAAGAAAACAGCACCCCAGAAAAACAGGAAATCTGAAAACAGAAGGATTTATTTAGACTCATAATCTTAAGTCATTTCTTCATTTCGAAGTCACTATATGCTAGTAACATAGTATCTACATTAATTCTGTGATTAACTTTGAGCTTTATAAAATCAATAATACCTTACTTAAATAAGAACCTTTGCTTTTGTAAAAGCTTTCCACCTCTTGTAACCTATTCATTTTAGGCTGTGACACACAATCCATTTAGGCTAGACTAGCTCATTCAAATAAACAGGGGCTGTGTCACGGCAAGCAAACTATGCCCTTAATTTTTACAACCCCCCCCCCTAATCTGCCAGACTTAATTTGCAAACTGGACAGACAAATGGACTTAAATCACCATGTGATCAATCAAATTAGCTACTTATTTTATTGCTCTAGTCTACAGACGATAGCAAAATAAAATAATTACAAACAACCACATAAATGGAAGTACAACAGCTAAAATTTACACATCAAATTAGTACATACAGTATTAGGTATGCATATATGTTGAGTACCTTAAAAAAAGTTAAGATATTACTTGTAAAACAAATTACTACTACTAAAATGCAGATAAAACTCTTAGGGGTGGCATTAATGGGTTTGGTCAGCTTACAGTCATACTGTCATGTTTAGTTCACAAATTTCTCCTTGTGTCTGGCAGCCTTTACTGCACAAATAAAGTAGCATTCTTTCCCACATGTTAGTTCATCCTTTGAAGCAAGAAGCCCAATTTTTCTTTCATTTACCAATGCTTCCTTCATAAGATGAAGAATTTAATGTGCAAGAAACTCAGAACTTATTTGACAGGACACATTGCATATATTCCGTATGGCATAGAATTGTGGGATTTAATAAGGCAACTCTAAAAAAGATCAAAGCATCTGAAATCTAAAATATGGATTTACCCACAACACTGAAAATTTCCTGAATAAAGAAGGTGAGTAATTAAAAAGTATTGAAGTGAATGAATAAAGAAAAAAAATCACCAAAAATGAAAATAAATGTGCTTTACTGAGTCACATAATGAAATCAAAAGTACAGAGTGTTATAGCTTATTATTCAATGTAAAATAAATAAGAAAGAAGTATAGATCACCTGAAAAACCTGACAAACTGGTTTGGATGCAACAATGTTATCAGCCAATGTGAAGATAGCCAGGAAGACATCCAACCTCCAGCAGGAGAGAAATGAGAATAAACTATACCAATTTGGGTTGTCTCCAGTATTTGAGAAGTTTCTCTCCGAGAGGGAAGAGATCTATTTTCATACTGCTCTGATTACAGTGGGTTTTTTTCTGATGTAATATAACAACACTTCTACTAGCTGTCTAATGCAGAAGTTGAGGTAGACATACCAGAAGCAGGCTGATCTGGCAGAATAACACAATACTTAAAGGTAATACCATACTTTTGCAGAAGTGCCTCTACAATCTAATCAGGTAATTGCCAAGTTTTTATTAAGAGCAAAATTAGATAAGAGTACAGAGGCTTATATAATATTGCAATTTTTAGAATGATTGGATATTTATATACTCTACATTCTGCCCAGCTATCAAGCACACATAAGGCACTAGTTACCAGAAATATTTGTAACAAGCTGTGTGAAAATAACATGATTTCTAACAGCTAGCTTCCAACATTCTATCATTCTCAACAAAAGCAAGAAATTGAACTCAAGCAAAGAGATGGCTTCATTCTCAGTGGCTCTAATCTAGTTGAATCTGGAAAAGCCTGTTTCTCATTTGAAATACTAGGATAAACTAAGGGAGGGGAAGTTCCTTAGCATCTATTTTCTAAATGAGTTAATTTCTGTGCACAAAAGGAAGTATTAAATTTCTTAATATTTCAAAGCATGTCGTCTCATGACCCCTCACACCTGATAGACTGTCCAACAGGAAATTTACAATGACAGGAAGGGAATGTGCTTCTAGGAGACTTGTCAGATCTTTAACTATTTTGCACAAACCTTATGATAACTGTATTACTGTATATGTGTTTTATTCTGCTTCCCATTTCTAGACCATACATTTGAGATGTCTTTTGCTTCTTTTATTATCAATATTATAGAATCATAGAATAAATGAGTTTGAAGGCCACACTGAATTGGAATGAGTTGGAAAGTTACTGAGTCCAATCCCCTGCTCAATGCAAGAATCCAAATCAAAACAGATCTACCAGATAGATGTTCAATTTTCTCTTGAATACATCCAATATTCGAGCACTCACCGCCTCCAGAGGTAACTGACATTAGCAAACTTAGACAAAATTGTGCTAGCTTAGTTTAGCTTCTTTAGTGAATGCCAATGCTGCTATTGGCAGCATTTTTTTATCAAAGCAATCTGTACAAAATATGCAAATGTACTACTTCCATGTGGTATGAGGCAGTACCTGCCAGAACTTTTGTAAAGTAACTTTACATTTGCATGTAGAGTTCTAACACACAACATGTTATCTTCCAGATTCTGTATGCTGGCTTTGTATCAAGCAAACATATAAAGGTCAATATGACTCTACAGATAGAGATAGATACCACAACTCTGAAAATGAAATACTAGCCATAGTTGTCTTAAACACTGAATAAGAGAGATCTACTCAAAATATACCACCATAGCATGAACACACCACCACTACTTTGTATACTATGAAAGATGAATTTTCAGAGAGAATTTGCCATGTAATCTTGACAGATATAAGGACTTTCCATCAATAGCTGCATCATTATAACCACTTCTATAAATAATACCTGAAAGCGTAACAATTCCTTTGGGCTGAGGTTGAAACCGCAAATACTTGTTGCAGAAAGAAGCTGATTCAAGAGCCAAGAATAATACATTGCCAAGGAAGTAGCCAGCTGTCTGACCCACAGAGTTGCACGTGGAGGCATAGCCCACATTCTCCCGAGATAACATAGTCAATGCCCAGCCATCTACTGCTATATCCTGAGTGGCTGCTAGAAACTCGAACAAGAAGAAGGTCACAGTAAGGGCTACCACATCCGGGCTTTTGCCATCTGCTTCCCCTAGCAACGAGTCCACCTGCATAGACAGGTACATCATAAAAAGTCCTAAGGTGTACTGAGTGGGTACAAGCCAAGACTTGCGCCGACCAAAGCTTTTGAAGTACACAGCATCCACCAAGGGGGCCCAAAGGAGCTTCAAGCTGAAAGGCCAGAAGACAAAGCTAAAGAAAGCCTGGTCCTTGTAACTAACATTCTTGCTTTGCAAGATGAGGGGGATGCTGCCGGCAAGCCCTAGAGGAATACCCTGCAGCACATAAAGAAAGAGAAGTAGCAAGATATTGCCCAGTTCTGCTCGATAGCTGGTGGGGGAACTAACTGGTCTAACCGCAGATTCTTCGAGCAGCGCCTGCCTGTCATCCCCTCCCACTGCCTCAGCGTGGCCATCTTCATACAAGTCCAAGAGCGGAGGGTCACTCTTCATCACATCCAGGGAGTGCTGGTAGCTACCAGGCCGGCGCTGCCGACTACTCTCCTTGCAGGAAATCGTGGGGGACATGTCGCACACGTAATCCAAAGCCGTCGTCCCGGGAAAGGAAAAGGGGATCCGCTTCCCCCGCTGGAATCGTCCTCAAAAGCCCAGGAGAGATCCACGGAGGCTTCCAGCTCTACCCAAAACAGATCACCAAGCGAGGGGCGGTGTGGGAAGGCTGCCAGTTCGGAGCCCTCTCCTACTTCGTTAGGGCTCAACCTGTCCCAGCCAGCGACCTTCTCTCACTCCTAGCATAGAGAAAGGGAAGGACGGGAAGACAACACCGTCGCTGTTCCGACTCCTGGTTCGCTCTCTCGGCTTCGTGAAGCAGCAAGCCGCTCCCTCCGAGACCGTCCCTGGGCAAGCGAAGGCGGGGCTGAAAAGACGAGAAGGCTGCCCCCGCCCTGCGTCGCTTCTGCCACCGTCGCTCCACCGAGTTTCGGAATCAATCGCGGACCAATTTTATCTGCCCGGCGCGGTCCACTCCTTAAACTCTTCCGGACTCGAAACACAAGCCAACCTCTAAAGGTACCGCCAAGAGAGCGAAAGCTCCTAGGAGCCGTGGTCCTTTCTTATTGGCCGAGTAGGAACAACGTCATCAAAGAACCACCTCCGCAGAGAAAGGAAGAGAAGGAAAGGAGGCGGGGCTCACTCTCTTCTAGGGCTAGGTTGCTGAGACAATAAAAGTGTTACCACATTTCCGGTTCCCAATACAGTAAAATGAATTATGGAGCACTGCAAAGATAGAGGGCTGGCTGGGCGCCATAAAGGGGAAGGAATAGAGACCTTATTGTTCATCGTGCTACAATGCTCTGCATGTGTGATGCCGTTCAAATGGAAGCTTCCAGGATTCCATGCGAGGGATACTGATTGATCTGGCTGGTGCTCCTGTTGAGGGTCTGCTGCCACCACCAGGGATATAGACACGATCATGCCTAAACGTCCTCTCTGTTGCAGAGTTCGACCAGTGCCTTGGTTTAACTAGTAGCTGAGAGCTATGAAGCAGAACAGGAGAAGACTGGAGAGCATTTGAAGGCGGAACCCGACGGAAAATAACTTAAAAGCTGTTAGGATCGCGTCTAACCTTTACCTTTCTAAGATAAAGGCTGTAAAGAAAGCTTGCTTTGCTGTTCGGATAAGCGAAGCTTCCAACCAGCAGGCGGAATTATTCCACATAGTACACAATCTATCCGGATTGGGTCACAGTGATTGGCCTCCCCCTAGTATCTCACCTGACCAATTTGCAGCACTTTTAAAGCTAAAGTGGAGGCCATCTGCCAGGACCTAACCCTCTATTTGAAACCAGTAGATCGAGCCGAGGCATCTTGCCCTGTGAGAATTACTCACTTTCAGCCAGTGGCCTCACTTGAGGTTGACAAGGCACTTGATCACTGCCATGCCACTTCCTCCTCCCTTGACCCTTGCCCGGCCTGGCTAATCAAAGCAGCCAGGCCTGTGACAACCGAATGGGCCATTGCAATAATTAATGGGTCTCTCTAGGAGGGCAGGGTTCCCCTTGCCCTCAAGGAGACTCTCATTAGGCCCATTTCTTCCATTAGGAAGAAATCGAGCTTGGCAGCGGACAATATTGGCAATTATAGGCCTGTCACCGATGTTTCCTTCCTTAGCAAAGTTGTAGAGAGGGTGGTGGCCAATCAGCTTCAGGCTCTCTTGGATAAAACCAATGTACTGGATCTGTTCCAGTCGGGCTTCAGTCTGCATCACGTTACAGAAACAGCATTGCTCGCCCTGCTTGATGACCTATTAAGGGAAGCCGATAGGGGCAAAATGTTGGTTCTCCTTGATATTTCAGCTGCCTTTGATACCATCAACCACAGTATCCTCCCGGGAAAGCCTTCTGAGTTGGGGATCAGTGGCTTGTCTTTTGGCTGGATCCGATCCTTCTTGGAGGACTGTTCCCAGAGAGTTCAGCTTGGAGAGAGCGTATTGGCCCTATGGCTCCTCAATTGCGGGGTGCCGCAGGGCTCGATCATCTCTCTAATGTTGTTTAATAGCTATACGAGGCCACTGGGAGGGGTCTACATCTCCTTTTTTCCAACAGCACTGGATGCCGTTGCGTCCCTTGAGTGCTGCCTGGGGGCTGTAATGCAATGGATGCAGGAGAATGGACTGAGGGTGAACACGGACAAGACACAGGTCTTGAGGGTGGGTGCCCCTCTTATCAGTGGTTTGGAAAGCTCCCTCTCTTTTGGGGGGGACAACTCTCACCACAAAGAGTTTGGTCCACAGCTTGGGGGTCCATCTTGACCCAGCCCTTACCATGGAGTCCCAGGTAGCGTCTGTGGTCCACACCACCCATCTACATCTTCAGCAGATTGCCCAGCTGCATCCCTATCTTGATGTTGGGGAGTTCACCACTCTGGTCCATGCGCTCGTAATATCGATATTAGATATGTAATGCGCTCTACATGGGGCTTCCCTTAAGATTGATGCGGAAATTACAAATGGTCCAGAACACGGCTGCCAGATTATTAACTGGGGTGAAAAAATACCATCACATTTCCCCCACCCTAGCAGCCTTACACTGATTGCCCATTTGTTTCTGCATTGACTTCAAGGTGTTAATGCTTATATATAAAGCCCTATATGGTTTAGGACCTCCATACCTGACAGAGCACCTGCTCCCACCTAGCTCTACTCATATCAGTCAATCTAGCCATGCTGGGTGGCTTGACCCCGAGAGACGCCCAGCAGGAGAGAACTAGAAACCTGGCCTTCTCGGTGATGGCCCCTCACCTCTGGAACATCTTGCCCCTTGAGATTCACCTGGCACTCTCGCTTGGAGCTTTTAAGAACAAGCTGAAGATCTGGTTCTTCAGGCAGGCCTTCCCCCCTTTCATTTCTTTATTCCCTGTGTCTTACCATCTTGTACTTTGATTATCTCTATGCTGTTTGATATGGTGTGTTTTAAATTTTGTTTTATATTCAGAATCTAAGCTGTCCAGAGTAGATTCATTGAATCTAGATTGGCGGGGTATGCCCACCTAGTCACTGGGCTATGTGTAAACATGCCAGTCTTATCATCCCACTCTAATGTCTGAGGAAATGGACTTGATCTACAAAACCTCACATTAAAATAACTATCTTTAAAATGTCACAAAACGTTTGCCTTGTATTTTGTTGTTTTGTTTTTAGATTGTGTCTGATAGGGTAACTCAGTTTATCCATGTAGAAGTAATAAAAGGTAAGTGACGGTAGGAAAAAAGAAAAAGAAAAAAGTGAATTTGCTATAGAACAAAGAAGCTTCTTAGCTCAGTGAATACTCTTATCTCCCAAGTCCCAATCCAACACAAACCATGACACTACACAACATCTACTGTGTCTTGTCACTTCCCAGGTTACAAATTCCAAGCCCTCCCATGCCCATCGTTAGTATTCTATCCAGCATTTCCCCCATCATCATTCCCCATATTAATATAAAGATTATCTAATTTCTTGTTCTTTCCCACCAACAAAGGAGCTGGTGCCCTTCACCCAGGATAGAGACAGTTCTGAGATAAAGCTGTTTTTTCTTCTTCCTGTTTTTAAAATTGACAACAATACTATTCTGCTTCTCCTGTTCCTGGCATTCTTTGGGATCACTCTAGGAGCTTATAGCTGAAAGCATCACATCATCTGAACGTACCTCTTTTGACTCTCTGCAGATCTCTGCTTTCTCATGCCAGCTCTGGATATCATGAAGGCATGACATAACATCAACATCAAACCAGCCCTCCACCCCTTGCTCTGTGGGTGGGTGTTTAAATGTATCCTTTTCATCTGCCATTTCTCTACAATACAGTACTTTAAATTTCTCCACGCTGCTGAAGAAGTCTCATATAAGAATAATCCATATTCTGTGACACATTGCATTGGTCCATGCAAATTTGGTGGAATGCTTCCAAGACTACTCCAGAGTAAGTGAGTCACAATACACTGCCTTATGCTTCAATACCTATTGCTCGCAACGAGAACAAAATGCCAAAGAAAGCCAGAGCCTGGGAAGATTCCCAACTGTTCCCCAAATGACTGGTTTTACTTTGAATTGCTCATCAGCTCCGTACTGTGTGGGCAGCACTCAGGGGTGCCATGTTGCAAAAGAAATTTAAGTACTGGGGCTGCCCGGTGGCATTAAAGCTAAATCTACGCTTGGTACTACAGCCTACGCAGCCAGGAGAACGACGGCTTTTGCTCTGCGTGTTGCCTGAGTGTTGTGGGTGCAGTTTTGTACTTGCTCCTGGCCTCCGTACAGGACCGCTGTCTCTTTGCCCACTTTCAGAGCAAATCTTAATCCCCTGGCTGTTATTCAAAGGCTGTACAGTTAATGCCTATGATCAGAGGCTTCAGCCTAACGTGCTCAGTAGAAGAGCCCAGTCAGAGTTGCAGAGGACGAGGTGGAAAGCGGGATTGCACATTTGTCCTTCTACTAGTTGGGGGAAAGAAAGGATTTGTCTAGGGTAGCTCTGCATCTGCAGGTGAGAGGACTTGGAAAATGTCCAATTCTGTGCAAGGACTGCAGGCATGGCATGGCTCACGGTGGCCAGTGCACGGGAAAGTTCCTTCCTTTTTCTTTCCCCTTGCTATTTAGGGGATTCTGGGAACTGCCCGCCTCAAAGTAATGTCTTGAAGTTTTGGCCTTTCTGTTTTGTTAGTGCATTAACATTCTTTGTGTCTGTAGATTTCATCTTTAGCTTTCTTGAATGTGGTGGTTGTATCCTTTGCTTTTAGTTGCTATTTGTCTATGCTTCCGAAGCAGGGGAAAGGCCTTTCAGCTTTTGCCGGGATCGCGGACCGGCTGAGCCTTTGAGGAAGACCAGGGGCCCCCACAGGTGCGTGTGGATGTGTGTGTGCTCTCAGGTGCATGCGTGAAGCGGTGGGGGAGTGCCCGCCCACCCACCAGCACCGGCATGAGCGCTCCCCTGCTCACCTGCCCACCCCCTTGCGCGGGCACTCTAGCACCCGAGCGCATGTATGAAGGGGTGGGGGAGCGCTCACGCCAGCACTGGCACATGTGCACGTGCGCAAAGCAGCTGTGGGGAGGGGAGTGGGGGGGGCGGGAGGTCTGTCTTCGTGGCCTAGTCCGGCTCAGGCCATGGACCAGCACGGGCCGTGGATTGGGGTTTGACGACCTCTGAGCTAGAAGACCGAGACTGGCTGGATAGCTCAGTAGTTTAAGTATCTGGCTGTGGAGTCATAGATTGGGAGTTCTTCCCCCTGTGTCTCCTATAAGTAGAGCCAGCCTGTGTAGTCTTGGGCAAGCTTCACACTCCAAGGTGAACCCAGAAGAAGGGAACTGCTTCTGAGTATTCTCTACCTGGGAAACTCTGCCCAAGCTGAAGGTCAGATTGGCCCCGTCTGGATAGAAATGCATGTTCACAACTTGCCACATCATTCTGACAAGTCAAACTGATATAATCTTTTGCCTCACTCCTCCACTTTTTCTCTCTTCAGGCAGATTGCCCTTTTAGCTGAAGGAAAGGCATATGTCTTATTGTTATGCACGATGTCTACCACTGCAGTATTTTACTGATTTTTTGGGGTTGAGGCAAATCAGGCTGAAGCCCAAAGGCAATGTAGATGTACTATGTGTCACAACAAAGAATCTTGGCACCTTAAAGATGAGGAGGTTTACTTTGACTGAAGCCATGGCAGAAAGCAGCCCACCTCATGAAGTGCCACAAAAGCATTTGTTGTTTTTGCTGCAACAGACTAAAACAGGTGCCACCCTGGAAATGGCACCCAGAGCTTTCCTGAGAGAAACAGCAGCTGGTGTGTCTGTGTTTGTGCATGCATGTGCTATCTAGGTCAAGCTTCCCTGTGGGCTGGTAATGAGTCTTCTGAAAGTCCTACCAACACCCCAGAGCAAAGTGATTAATAGGTTGGTTGAACTGCAACTCCCATAATCCTTTACCATTGGCTGCGATGTTTAGGAGGTGATGTGGTGGCGCTGCAGGCTAAACCGCAGAAGCCTGTTTAGGTTTAGATGTTTAGGAGTGATGGGAGTTGAAGTGCAGATATATTTGAGGAATAGC